CCCCCTGCAGACTTCATGAGGTTGATAACATCCTATTGCTACCTTATCACAAACCTGGTTTGGTCAAAGCCAAGGGTAGAGCTCAATGGTATCCAGCTCAATTTCTGTCGCGCAAAATTGGGAAGAACGGCAAACCGTACGAGTTTCTATTTCATTGGTTGTCGACTACCGCCCTATCCGCTTTGCCACACTTTAGTCTTGGCTCCAAAGATGTCCTAGATGCGTTGCGACGGCGCGGACACCTTCAAGATGACGAGGTTCCTCATCTAATTAGTCTTTCAATGCTAAATTTGATTGTTGTTTTAGATTGCGAAAATTTACCTTCCTCGCTACATGGACCCGAACTACGAGAACCACGACAATCAAGAGACGCGTGATATCTTGCTCTCTGCCATCCCACGGCTTGTCGACGTCCTTGTGGAATGGGATAACGCGCATCCCGTCGTTGCGGCGTTCAACGCCCGATTTGCACGCCGTCCAAATGGGAATCAAGTCTCACTATGGATGCTTGATCTTGGGCTGGATCTTTACCCAGAGCTTGAAGCCATACTCGCGGACATCATACCAATAATCTTCCAAGACCCGTTCCTCCAACGATGTCTCGACGTTGGCGAGCAAACGAACCGCGTGATGGGAGTGAGGTTTGTTCTATTAAATGTGCTCATTGCCCAAGCTTCTTTAAACGAGCCGCTGGATCTCAACGGCGATAGTTTCGAAGATATTACATCGCGCCGGGTCGTTGCTTTCGAATTCGACGGCCATGCAGCCATTCGTGCGATGTTAGCTTCGAGAGCCGCATTGACCGATGGAAGAACGCTGGTAACAAGGGACAGGCCACAGTTCATCAAACGACACGCTCAATATCGCGCTGAATTGCGCCCGACGGTTTACAAGCGCGCAGCTCCCCGACCAGCAAACTTCATGGCACGCCCTTCTATCCCCGTCGTCGTCAACCGTCAGACGGAGGCGACTACAACAAGAGATCAGTCATTGAAGAAGGCGCGGCCGACGCCCAAGCCTCTACTGCGAATGAAGTCGGCCGCTTCTCACGCGTTTCACTCACTGTAGTAACTTGTGAGTAATCCGGCCATTTCTACCATTGACAGTACCACATATCAATATCAATGACAGTCTATTACATGTATGCCACATCGTTTTTCTTTATTTTCCGCCTGTTCGTGTCCTTGAATTGGGCGTCCAGATGTACCTCTGTAGCGCAGCCATTCATTGGCCATCACAATACACTATTACTACATAGTCCATTTGAGCTTCGCTTCTCTTCTCCTTGATTGACTTTTGTTTGTGCCTATTTGCTACCCGCAGGTTGACAAGGTCTAACTCGACCGTCACTGGCTCACTCAAAATGACCATCCAGGTACATTCGGAGCTCTACGAGCCCATCCTCAACCACATTTCAAATGAGGACACAGAAACCCTCTATGCCTGCTGTCTCGTTTCGACTTCGTTCCGCCACCCCGCACAAAAGCGACTGTTCTCGTTCCTTAGCGTTCCGAAGGGGTGCGGCAGAAATGGCCGCTCATATGCTGAAATCGCTGCGCTCTTTGAAGAGAAGCCGCACATGACTAACTACGTGACCACTCTTCGCGTAGCCCCTCCCAACGACGAGGAGGTTTGGCAGCAGGAACGGCCCTTTGCTGAGGCGGTTTTCCGGCAGCTGCCCAACGTTCGCAAGGCCATTATCCGGAACTACCAGAACTACGAGAGTCGCCCCAGCATCCGCAATTACCGCGACATTCGCTCAACCGCAGTGGACTTGAAGGCAAGCGTCATTGACCTGCTGCTGAGTATCCTCCGACGCCATGGAAAGCTGCAGGAGTTGACCCTATGGAGTCTCAGCCTCACAGAAGACATTCTCCACCGCGTGTTGTCTGCTGCCACCTCTCTTACGGTTTTCCACGTCACAATCAACGAATCAAACACAACCAGCGAGGCTAATAGCGCTGCTATTGCGTTTCAGCGGGAACCGACTTGGATTGCTGATCTAAGCATCTCGCAGAGTCGAATATTCTACAGCCGGCTTCTAACTGACCCTCAACTCACGCCGTACATACAGCACCTGCGTGGGCTGGAGCTCCACTGGATCGAAACCCTGGAGGACATCTCGCCGTGCTTTCTTTCCCCGCCGCAACGCTCGAGCGGATCGAGCTCAATGTCGCTGCTTGTGGTTAGTTTTGGACTTTCAGATCTCACGGGTTATAGTTCACGTTATTTCATCTAGGTTTCGACCCTCTCCTCGAAAACCATTTAGCTTTCCCGCCTCGCCTTCCTTCTTTGCACGTCCTCATTCTTACAATCAAATCTTGCGATCCGCCTCCAGGCATCATCACTTTTCTCTCCCAAAGCGGCGCGCCATCACTAGCCTACCTCGAATTCTCTTTTGATAATGTTGCAACTGTTCGACGGAAATACAAGAACTATTCCTTCACCCCCAACACGCTTCAGTTGCTGGACGATGCTCTGGGCCGCCACCCTACCATCAACACAGTGAAGTGGCACATTTCCCTGAGGTACTACAGTAGCGAGCAGGACCCAGCACAGGACACGCCAAAGCATGTGGCCTTCGTGACTAAAAAGCTGTGCGAGCATCTCCCGAACGCGTTTGCAAAGAAGCTGACGACTGTGACTGCGGAGGACATCGTTATGATCGCTTATGACAGTTAAAACGTTGAAGGATTCGTTTGTCATGAGGGAAAATTCAAACTTTCAGAGGGAGCCTGGGGAAGGAGAGAAAGAGGGAGATTCAATTATACATGGATTAGATTCCTTACGAACTGCTGATCGAAAATGATGCTACATTTACATAGAATCGATCAACTTCAGGATGCAAAATGCCTGTGGCTTGTGCCGATGAAACTCTATTACCGCAGATAACCAACTTCCAGGAGTTGTAAGCGCGACAATTGAAGTTCGAGGAATAGTGTTCGGGGCCTAGAATAAGAGATTCAAGGGGGGTCGCATTGCGCAGAATGCGTGAAATAATACTTGGCCCATTTTCAAGTTCCAAGAAACTGATTACGTTGCGCAGCCTCGGCGACGCTAAGAGGAATAAGTTGGGAATAAGCCCTCGGGTTTAATGGTAGATTATCGCTTACTCGTCGGTCATGCTCGATGACCTGGGAATGGTCCAGAGATCTGGGCCAGTGCACCGACTTAAATTCCAGTTTAGAGTTGCCTTGCAGTTCATAGTAAAACAAGCTCCTCCAAGCCCGCATTCTGAGTGCGGCATGGATGAGAGGATTTCTTCCTTCGCTGGACGCACAGCGGCGGTCGAAAAAACGAAGCGCAAAGCGCGCTCCCGTTTGTGGTGGCGGTTTTGGAGATATATGATCCGCGGTCACGAGGTCAGCTACATCGCACTTTTCTTCCCAAGACCACCACCACTGTTGAACGTTGGGCGCGCTCTGCGCTATCGGTGGCGTGGCAAGTCTTGCGTTTTGTCGACCGCGCTCTGCGTCAACAAACTACGCGACGTAGGGAAGATATGATAGGCAGAGGGTTTTGGTGAGTGGTCGTCTTTCGCCCAAGTTGTAACAGGAGCTCACGCAAAGCTATTGATCAGCGAAACGTTCTACACGCTCTACAAGAGCTAAGGCTAGGGAGCTTAACGAAAGTCATGGGAATGGGCTTGGGAAATACCCATGTCAATGCTCTCGTGAGCCAACTACTTGTCCCATTGCAGCCTGAGACTTTTCCAGGTTCTGAAAATCGACGAGACTTTCATCTACCTATGCCACGACACTGATAATTCTATGTGCTTTCTCTTACGTTCTTCTGTCTACCTCCTCTTTGCAACCGCCGTTTGTATTTGCGGCTGCGATCTCATAACTCCTTGCCCAAGAATATCGTCCTTTGAAACGCAATCCTTCTCTCTCCACCGAGCATCTTCACCCGCAGTGCTTTGCTCCGATTTCCAGCTACCGTCATTTCTTGCAACGGGCCTCCGAGGCACCTTCAGTTGTGACAAGCGGCTGCCGGCTTTCCGCAAATGCGGTATTGCGTTTGCCTTGGGGGACATGCCTCTACTGGGGGATGAAAACACGATCTGCGGGCTCTCGTATCTTGCCCAATACCATCCTCGACTCGGAGCATTATTCCACCGTCTTCCGAAGATTTGGCGTTGGCCACCACCTTTCATTCGCGACAAATCATTCTGTAACTTGACCGTTTTTCTCTTGCCAGCCCATCGACAATCCAGCACATTTGTATTTGTTGTTTGTAATGTTCGTGAACAGAGAGGAAAAGTATCGGTTGATAATGCGAATAAGTGCAGGGGAGTCAAAGTCATAAGCCAAAGGTGACAGTGAAGAGGAACAGATTGCGAACACAACAAGGAGGAGTCTAATTTTTGCCCTCGTTGTCAGCAAATGATAGCATCATTCACCGAGCTCTGAGGCAGCGTAGTTTGGAGCGTTTGATAGTTGAAGCGTTTGATCGGCGCTGAAGAAGGTTGGTTGGCTTATACTTGGTATTTGCATATTACATACACAGGCAAACAGTTACAAAATCTCATCTTGGAGTCAGAAGGCTATCTTGCTTCGCTGAAGGAAAGGTTTCAGATAACATAATCGACAAGACATAGAAACTCCAACCAAATGTTCTATCACAGCGCGATTGTGAGCTGAGAGGGATCTGGAACCATCAATTGCACTGGAGTCCAACTCAGAAAAGTCGATGACGTGGGACGCTCGCTACGATTGTAGTCAGAACTTCTGTTCAGGCAGCAGAAGATATCAGGAGTGACCTCCTTCTCGGCGTCTCCGCTCTTCAACGTGAAATCGGAGGCCTGAGCTGGCAGCTGACTTGGTAGAGTTATCGGAGGTTGACCATATTGTTGAGCAGGCGGCAAGTATGAATACAGCCCTTGTGTCGGTGGATTTCTGTAATAATACGGAGACGTGGGAGTGTAAGCCGTCGTTGGAAGCGCTAGGGTCGGAGGAGAGAACACCGGATGAGTAGATATCGGTGCAATGAGATGCTGATTAATGAGTCGAGTATTCAATGCAGAAGGCTGCGGACGTCGGCGAATAGGCGACTGGTGCTTTCGCGGTATCGAGAAGTTGTTGTAATGAGCTTGAGGAAATAATACCGCTAGCAGCGAAGCCAACGTAGACGGCAAAACCAACCTGAGGTTGCTGCTGAAGAAGGGCCAATGCGCGCTTGGGGTGAGTAAACGCAAAAGCCTGATCATAAGAGGTCCAAGTCAGGTGGATTCTCGAGACTTCGAACTCTAGCGCCAATACCTTCATTTGGGCAAGTATCTCTTGTAGCTCCATTGAACTGCAGTCGTGCATAAATTGTTTGATAACCTCTTCTGCGCGTCGACCAGGTGCTAACGGCCGTCCTAAGGGAATCGCAGAGAGAATCTCTCTTCCATCGCCCACGTCAGAGCTGCCGTCATCACTCTCCTCAACAATTCCGCCCCTCTTGGTTGTCTTACCTTGCAATATGGGATCCAGTTCTGATTCACAAGAGTCAGCGTAAGGAATGCGACCCAGGAGAACGCACCCGCTAAGCTGATTCGTAGCGAGCGGCCATTGACTTCGATATTGTTGAGGTTGCGAACAGCAGATAGCGCTGTTGCATGGTCTGGCGATGATTGCTATATATTATTCACATAACTACAATGAGGAGAGTGGCACCAGCGAATTCGCAGAAACCGTAGCCTTTCAGTCTTCCGGTGTCTCTATCGGAGACCAGTCTATGTGGAACCGGTTTATGATCGGGCGGGATAGAACATCAATGGGATACCTTAAGGCAAGGACTTGTCCAGCTCGATTGAGGACGCGAGCCAATGAATCTTCGCTGGTCTTGTAAGGAATGTTGCCCACTAACGGGGCAGAATTGTAAATGCTGCTCAGTAACACAGCGAATGCAAAACGCACCAAACACGACTTTGCTCATATTCGTAGGTGACAGCCTCAACCAGACGTAAAGCTTACTTAAGCTTTCTGATCAGGGGTCACACCGACTGGCCGGCGACCGTGGGCGCCGAAACTCATGGGTGTTAGAAGAGTCTGAGGAATGTGATACAAAAAAGAGCGATGAAAAGCCTCATTCGATCCGACCGGTCAGCGTCCCGCAGCTCGTTCTCCAGCTCCTGAAGCAGCAGCGCGCTCTGTTTTCCATTTCTCCGCAAGTTCCTCAATTTTCGCCTTTAGACTATCACGCATCCCCTCGGTTCCTTCCGCTTGCCAATCGGCGCGCCCGATCTGCCGCAGCATAGGGATTTTTCCTACTCTATAACTTGGAATTAGAACAGACGAATCAAGTAAGAAAGCAAACGCGCACAAGCACGATGTTGGCATATTTGTGGGGGTCAGAAAAGAAAGTCTCGACGAGATGAAGAAGATAGAGACCACAATCGCAAAAGTTGGGCTGGTGTGGAACCTAGGATACGCCAGATAAGCACGAACGTCTGAATGGAATTGACAAACCAGTGCAGGTTTGTATGTCGCCTTATTTAACCGGTCTTTGTGCATATTCTTCTTCTCCGACGCCTCTTGCCGCAGATAATTGTCTAAGAGCACTCCCGCTCTTGGATGCTCTAACCCTAGCGAGTCTAAAGTGAAGATGTAGGCGCTGTCGAACTATTAACTTGAAATATACGCTCGTTGAACGATAGGAAACGAACCGAGGTTGGACTTGTGGTTCGTTTGAAGTGTCGAATGGGACCCTTTCCATCAACGCAGGAGAAATCACTTCCACCTCCATTGGTTCGTCCGATGGCAAGTTTAGATTGGATCTGGTATTGGTATTGCTAGGGGTCGAAGGTGATACTTTGGTGGACGGCGGCGGTGGCAGTTCTGGCTTTAAGACGTGCTCTGGGTAGCAGATGATGGCTAGATACCAGTGAAGACTGAATTCAATTAAGGATCAAGTACTTGTTGCCTAAAAGACGCATGCACACACTTTTCATTTATGGGAACGATAATATATTTCTTTTCGAAGAGGTCGAACTTGGAAGTCCATTTGGCGACACTAGCGTAGCTTTCCCGGTCCTTCATAAGACATAAACATAAACAGTATTCCAACATACCTTTGCTGGTTTAATTTATGGTAGAAAAACGAGCTAAAAACGTGAATTTGCTTCGCTAATTCCGTGTTATCTTTGTACAAGCCGGTGCAGCCATAGCCTTGGCGAATGATTAGTACAACGTCAAACAACAATGGGAGAGTCAGTACTTAAGACCAAACTCGATGAGGGTGTCATTGAGAAACGCGTTGGGTCGAAGGCGAATCATGTCGCCCTTCGTAATGTTGACGGCTCCAATCTGACCAGTAGGATAAACCAGAATACTACGAAAAAATAAATATCAGCAAGTTTCCTAGGACAGGTTTTGCGTACACTTCGTCTGAATTGGAATCAGGCGCTGATTGAGCGGCGGAATCCAACTCTATCTTCGAGTCTGCATTTAGCACTGCATCCGGGTCTGCACTATTCGGAACGCATAACTTAGCATCGAACTCCATGAAAGAAGAGTGTTGCCTCGAATTTTGTTCTTGAACTGGAGGTTTCAAGCTCTTGTCCGTCGCAATATGATTGTTCCATTTCCCCAGCTCGTCGTCAGATTCTTCCTCCTCTTTCCGTGTTGCGGTGGACCTGCCCTTTGTCTTCCCAGTACCGCGCATTTCTACCATGTTCCGGATAACGTTGACGGCGGAATCGCTGACGCGATTTAGCAGTTGAAATTTTTCGAGACATACAAAGACTTGCTGTATAACGCTTCTCCTCTTGACCAACGGTTTCATCCACGCGATGAACTCTTCATACTGGGTCCGCGGAGGTCTGCCCAGATTGACGACGATTATACCCTTGTCTCGGGATACCTCTGTGCGGGGAAAAGATAGCCAGAAAACGGGTGATGCAGGAGCACAGACCTGGTCGCAACATGAAGCGCGGGCCGCCCTTAGCATGCTGCATTGGGTATCGCTTCAGGACGAAGATCATATCGGAAGTATCATCGAACTCGGTGTACTGAGCCGGGATGAAAACAGACGATTACAATCTTAAGACGCATAAGTACCTTGAACTTGGCTATCTCAGCAGCCACAAAAATCCTGTCAGTGTGCTTGGCCGTTGGACAAGGTCGTTCAGTGGAATGGAGGGTTAAATTTCTCTCCTCCCAGGCCAGATGGTACGGCGGACTGAGCCGAAAACTACCAATGTAACCGTCCTTGATTGCGAGAAACCTCTTTGTCTTAAGGGCAGGGACAACTTCACTCAAGTTCAGCAACGGGCGGGGCGGGGATTATCGATCGGTTGACTTACCTCGGACTATCTCGTCATCATCCAGTTGTACGGGCCACTGAGGAACGACTTGGGTCAAGTTCAGCCAGGTGGCGTTTAGGTTCGGTCGGCTGACCTGGGATTATTCCTTTGTGGAAACGATCCTTGGGTTTATTTGGCGCTGATATCTCAACTATCTCGTCGTCATCCAGCTGTGTGGGGACGTTCCCGAGTTTAGCTGCTTCCGCGTCAGTGTTAACGGCGTTGCATGCAACGCCCCTTACGCACCATTATTAGAGGTAAAACCCGGGGCCTTCTTGCTGCTATCTGATCCACCAAGTCTTGGTTTCTTTGACTGCGTGAGTGGGGGATCGTGAAGCGCCAGAGCGACCGTCCGGGTAGTCATCAACTTGAAGTAGGCTAACTGAACGGCGTGACGTAACGTAACTAAAGAGGAAAGCAATTTTGGACATGAGAGGCTGAAAACGGGAGGGAAAACATTCGATTCGTTGGCAGAAGTAGAGTATAAGGATGAGCAACTGATATAAAACAATAAAAGGAGCCTCGAATGTAAGTAAGTCCTCTCAGACTTTCTCTGCATTGACACACATTCTTCTCTTATTGCTGTCGCTATCGCTCCTCGCTTGGTGATCGACTGGTAAACGGTTCCGGACTGCGAGGCGTCGGGAGTGCATCATATTCCCCAGGACCGACGAGCTCTGGTGTAGGACTCCGAGATGATGAGAGAGTGCTGGGCGTTTCAAACCTCGTAGTACTAAACCATTCAGGCGGAGGACTAAGAGTGTCGAGAGAAAAGGTGTGTAATTCGGTAGAAGACTGCTCGGGTGTAGGACTACGAGCGATGGCGAGAAGGGATCGGGAGGGTGGGAAGTTGATGCTGAGGCCGCCGATAGACGATTTGGAGGGCTCTGAAGACCATTCCCCATTGTTTTGGCCGGAGCTGTTTTGCAATTGTAGCCCTATACCATGATCTCGTAGTGTTTTGGAAGAAATTGGATCTCTAAAGCAACGGATTGAAATCAGGGGAAGGGATGTCTACGAGTTGAAGTTATGTACTCACTCATCGCCGGTCAACAAAGTGTCCAAGATGCCATTAATGGACAAGTCGAGAGCAGCAAGCTTGTGAAAGTAGTATTCAAAGCATAGCATACACACGGGCTCAGTGCACCAATCGCGGTCCACTTCACTGCCATCGATGTTTCGTGCTTGCGTGTGCATGTTGAAGTGCGTGAGCGACAATCTTTTGAGCTTCGGTTCTATATCTGGAAGTCGGCCTCCCCAGCCGCGGCGACAGCGCCCTCCACGTGGGCAGACAAGAGAAGAGAGCGTGAACCTCCTTTGGGGTCGCCAGAGGGTTAATAGACGTATGAACCATATGCTCTTTCGCTTACCTTGAAAGGTTTTCCTCCTCATCGTCTTCGTCGGTATCAATTTCACCTGTCTTTCTGGAGCAAGTTAGAAGAAAGCTAGATCTGAAAATTATCTTCGCTTACCTGGGACGGTCGTCCTTCCTTTCATCATCCCCAACGGTTCCCTCATCATCATCGCCAGAATCAGTCGCACCCATTCTAGAGGAAGTTAGAATATCTCTAATCGGAGAATTGGACGGGCCTTATCGGCGCGGAGCTGATGATTCTGCCTTCCTCGATTTGTTTGCGGCGGATTTGGCGGGCGGGTTTGGAATTGGATGGTGCGGGGATAATAGTCCTGCCTTGAGTCTCTTGTTCTTTGAGGCTTTGGCGGGTGAGTTTGGATGGTGTGGGACCAATAACGCTTCTTTCGGTCTCTTCCTTTTTACGGCTTTTTGCGGGTGGGCCTCGGGGGTAGCGGAGAGTCGATGTCACTTTCGCTCTCATAGTCGATGATTACTTTAGGTTCCTTTCGTTTGATATTGCGAGTTAACTTCCTGTAGAAGGATGATTAGCAGCATATAATCCACCAAAACCACGCACCATGCGTTGTCCCTCGGTTCATACCATTTGTATTCGTTATCGCCGACTCTTTTTCTTTGAATTCGCGCAGGGGCAAGCGGCCTCTTCGAACCTGCGGCGCACTTTTTCTCGTTATTCAGCTCTTCGCCAACCCGTTCAATGTCCGCTCGCGTTCGTTTTGAGGGCATAACGAGGTCGTTACGGGGAAAGTTCAAGACACTGCGCGACTCAAATGCGCGATGCGTTCTATAACTAGTTGGTGGTGGCCAAGATGGGATGATAATCGCGTGATTCGATGATCGGTGCTTGGAACTGCTAAGTCCTCGCTAACTTGTTTTTCTCCCTGTCCTTCTTCGTCGCTCGTCGCGCCGTCGATGATCTTACCAATGTCGCACCTGGCTTCCATGCATGGTGTTGGACGGGACTCGGCCCGTGGCAGATGCGGCAGAGACACGGCAGAGCGTGACGCAATTATGCTGACAAGAAGGTCATAACGGGAAAGCGAGGATCATAATGCAAATAGTCATACCTTCCCCTATTAAGCTGAATTGCAGGGATATCACGCATCCTTGTTATAACGCCCGAACCCGGAATAGCGCTAGGATGAATAAGCCATTGACGTGCTACCAGTTGACATAAAAACGCGTCCCGCACTCCTTCTCTTCGAGAAGTCTGCACAAAGGCTTTATTACCGTGTAACAACAACAACGTCACATAACGATCCAATGAACGGGTGTATCTGTGTGACTGCGTCGTCGTCGACTGGCTTGCTGACGCGCGCACCTTGAGCGGATAGTTTTGCAGTTTTGCTAGGCATTAAATATGGTTCGGAACACTGCGCTATGCGTGCACGCATCGCGCTCTGTCGCAAAACCGCCAAGCGCCAGCCGATCAGTCACATCAATTTTCTGTTCTTCGCTAGTACTGCGACGCCTGTGAGGCGAGCTCTGCGCCATCGGTGGTAGGTATTGCGTCTGGTAATTGTTGAGCGCGCGCTTTGCGTCAACATACCATGGCCACGAGCAAACCATCTATGTAGTCCTCGCCGCAATTCGCCTACACCACCAACTGGACCTGACATCTTGCACCGCCTCCTAGAGCTCGCCGCCTTCTTGTATAAAGCGTCACGCAGAAGAACAGTATTCTCCAACCACTCGGCGGGTCGGAGCTCATAGGGACGTGCCTGTTACACAGGAGATCGGGCGCGGTGTAGGTGCCTGGAGCGACCGTTCATGTTGCGCCATAGTCACACGTCCTAGGTTTATATCCGTTCCGCTTTTGAAGCTGATCAGATTGTCACAGAGTGCTATTTAGGATTCACAGCCACCAGCGACTTGTTCTTTCACTCCCACCGCAACTTGGTAGAACGCGACGACTTATATCCGTCTCGTGGGAGAAGTCAAAGGAAATGCTTCGCTCCAGCTCCTCCAGATACAAAGTACACACCAACCACCCGTTTCATTGGGATTGTTTATACTTTGTTTTGACAGCATTCTGAAGCCACAAAGAAGAACTTTTCAAAGGCGATGAAGGTCGCAAGAACAGCTGAATGGTATGCCATCTTATAGATCAACCCGAAGACCCAACCTATTACTGTCTGGTAGCGAAAATCGCGGCGGCCTGACTCGAGCTGAACGCGCTATGTGTCGAGCGCTTGGAACGCAGTATAGTAGCTACCTCTTGGCCAACGTCCTCGGCTGCGAACATCGACTCGTTCGTCGGGCACTGGCAAACTGCCGTGACCTCCGCCTGACAGCGAAGAATCGCAGAGCCATAGACATTGTTGACGACGATATCGATATTCTCAACGAAAATGCGGAGGAATATCAAAATGTTATTGTATGATTTTCGTGGTGCTCTGTTCTTCATATCTGACTGAGTTACAATTCAGCAAAAACTTCAGCAAGCTCGACGGCCTGGTTCTCCTTCGCACGCACCTAACGACCTTCTTCGCGACCGCACGGAGGAGGGTCAGAATGTTATGGTATGCACTGGCGCTCGAGCAAGCTTGTGCAACTGATGTGTCATTCAGCTACAACTTGAGCAAACTGGAGGCCACGAGCGCGTGGTGGAGGAGCACAAGGATTTTGGGATGGAACATTTAGCGCAGGATTGGACCCCAGAGCGCGTCATATCTATATTTCAGAATAATATGGTACGCACTTACTTGCGTTGCTTTGTTTTGTATATGTAGCTGACCTGTAATTCAGCGAGAATCCTTGGATAAGGAATGTCAGCAAAGGCGATATGGATTGCACGGGCGGGGGGGCAGCTCGCGTCCTAGAGTGCTCTCAATGGGAGTGGGAGCGCTCGCAATGGGAGCGGGAGCGCTCTAGATCTCAATTTCAAGCAGCGCGGGCTTCACGAGCTTCACGGTCTGCAACGTCCCGAAACTTGGGACGACAAGAAATGCCTGTGGACGCCGTTGGGGGATTCCTGGGCCAAGTGTGGATGGGATTGCGTAGCATTTTCTGAGATGGAAGCGGCTGCAGCGTCTAGATAAAGAGGGTTGGTTGGTCCCTAGCATATAAAGAAAATCTGGTTTGCTACTAGTAATAGAAGGGGGAAAAAATGGGACTCTCCGACTTGCTTACATCATTCACTACGATGCCCCAGAGTTGCGTCACGATCAGGCGTCATTGATGTTTGATTGTTCGCCGACTCGGACCCGTCAGTGGCATCGCGCATTTCTTCCCAAAACTGTCGCCAGCGGTTGGGCGCGCTTTGCGGTAGGTGTTGCGTATCGTCATCGTTGAGCGCGCTTTGCGTCAACAAAATACTTACGCGACGTATCGAAGACGGTCATAAGTAGGTTGCGGTAAGCGGCTGTCGCCAAACCAACCGCGACGCGAGCAATTAGGGGCTGCGCTATGGCCGAGAGTTGCCATTAAATTCTGACCTATGTCATCGCACAACGACTTGTTTTTGGCCAATATCGCTGGCGGTCTATATCTCGAGCTCGAACAAACTTGGGCATTGACCGTTCGAAATCAAATCCGGGCACAGTTGGCGGGACCAGGGGAGTTTTTGTTTCTGCGATTGACTACCCATTCACTCGCGCTCCTAATAATGTTCTAGGCGGTGAGAGCGGCAACCCTATCGTTTCCCTCCTTCTCGCTCGGCAGGTCGAAGAACAACAACGGATCTATCCTTATCCGGCTCGCATGTTCTTTGTCATTTACCTCGTTACCTCTCTGCGAGGTCTCTTTCAGGGCACGCGTCACTCGTTCCTCGTGACAAATCGCGATGGACTATGGACAAAGAGAAAGAGGGCTCCCTGCTCTTGCCTTTGCCCATCATGTCTCCGCCCTCTCCTTCTGCTGGACAGCGCCGGCGACGCCCCAGTACCGACAGCAACAACGGCAGCGATAGTGAAGAGTCCAGGGCTGCTGGCCGCAATATCAAGGTTGTCCCTTCCAACGATGAGACCAATGTCCCTGTGAGCCATATATGC